CAGTTTCCGGATCCATAGGATGAGGGTCAGGGAGAAAAATAAGGAGGAAGAGCAGGATGTTTACCCTCCTAAGTATTTGAAATAACATTTCCAATTGAGGTTTCCAGAAACTGAGTGGCCTCAAACCGGGATGGTTGGGGGCTAGGGTTAGAGTTAGTTAATTTGACAGTTAACAAATTGATAATGCTGGAATAAATTCAATAGACAAAAAGAGATCAGATAAGTAGAGGTCAGAAATATCGCTCTCTAGAATGTTGGTTGGTGAAACTCTTTACCAGGAGATACCAAATCCTTTTAACAACTTAATCATTCTTGATAACTGGTTGTGTCAATGCAAAGTAATAATAATTCAGGTGCAAGAGGGAGTATGAAATGTAAAATAGTAGGAACATTCCCCTAGTCAATTTTCATTTGCCAATTTCTAGTATGGCTGGCTGCTTGTGTGTGAGAATGTCTTTCTGCTAGGGTGACTAGCTAATCCCTGTTGTAAACTCCTGCTCAGGCACATTTGTGTTTCTTTAACATCCACAGAACCAATCCGTGGTTTATACTGCAACTACGCTGAATAAACTTTAGTTACAATTTATGGAAGAGAATGCAAATTCTGGTATGATCAGCAGTTTGAACAAGGCCGCTACGTTCAACTCCCACCTTTTGGTAATTTGTGACTGTGCTAGCAAAATCATCAATGACAATTCTGTCAATTCAATTTAATCCCCGAAGCTTGAATCAACCTTTGTGTTTTTCAGGCAATTCTTAATGGTGTTGCATGCTGGGATCATCTCCCCAGGCCAATATTATCAAAAAGTCACTTTCCTGACAAATCAACCCTGGTGAGATTCAAAAATGGTCTCATGGTCAGTATGTTAATGTTCTAACCACTTGACCATGTAACCAAATTTCATATATAAATAAAAACAATGTATGCACATGCACACATATATATGTTTTCATCAGGTACCACTTATTCATGTATGAATGTTTATATCAAAACAGATGCATATATGGAGGTGCTGAAAAGTTTTAAACCTGGTTGATTATCCAAAACCTGAACAAATATTCAATCATCAGAATTTATTTTAGAATGGCCTCATAGTTGGGCTGAGAAAATTTCAGCAACATCTCATACATAAATAAAATAAAATTATGTTAATTCTGAACAAGAAGCTGTTTTAGTCAGGATTCAAATTTAGATGCTGTTTTCCACAGGAAATTACCATCTTGTGTAGAAACACTTTATGATTATTACATACACACATACGTACGCATGTACACACTTAGAAATCTATTACCAGAAATAAGAAAGAACGGAAGGCAAGAAAAGAGGAAACAGAAGATAAACAACAAAAGTAAAATAAAGAGAAAGAGAGAAAAATAAAAAGAACAAGGAAAATAAAGAGAAAGTGATGCAACACAAAAAGAAACAAAGTATGAAATTTATGACCAACTTATAGTAAACACATTTATATGTAAAATCTTGTTGACAATGATAATATATATATTAAAAAATATTGTTATTTTTTATCCTGGTATCTATGATTAGCGCATATAGTGGACATATAAATTCTGAATATTTTAATTTTTAAAAGCTAATTGGTAATTTGTGATATCAAGTAGCATAATAATTGAAGGCTGAAAGGAAATTGTTTTGAAGATTTTTTTTAATGAATAAAGAGAAAGAAAAATTAAAAATAATTTTATTTTTAAAAACGTTTTTTCACTTTGGATGTACCATAACATAAAAATGACTAATTTTCTTGTATTTTCTTTCATTCTTTTAATTCTCCCTCCCTTTCTGTCATTTTGATTGGTTGATTTCTCAAAGTAGAATGAACACACAATAGACAAGAGAGAATAATGGAAATTTGCATATCCATATGTGAATTTAATCCAAACACCCAGATTGAGTAATTTGTGATATAATAAAAGAATGAACAAGATCGACACTGGATAATTGGGAGAAAGTGTTCTTAACAGCATTTCTAAAGACAGCTAGGGTGAGCAAGAAACTGAGACAAGTAACCATGTTTCTTTCCTTTTGTTTCTTTCCTTCACTTTCTTTTTACTTCAAGCTATTTTGGCAGTGCTACCTATTTATTGATTAATAAAGTGACATAATAAAGCACTTTTATGGTGGTGGAGATGTGGTGGCATGGCTCAAGAAGGTGCAGCTAGTAGGGAGACTCCAGAAAATAGGGGAGATGTGGCAAGCCATTTACCTTTGTATTTAGATGGAGACATGCTCCAACTCTATTTGTAGATATATAAGGATCAGCAGACAAACATCAACCTGATTGAAGCCCAGTTGAAGGAGCCTTTTTTGAACGGGGGTTTTTTCTGTTTATGCAAAGCTTTAACTGGTTAAGTGGACAGGAGAGTGCCTGGATGTTTACGTCAACAAGTTACGACAACTTGCAAGATGGCAGGGTTCACCGGTTGTGGTCTTGAGACAGCAATGAAACTGGCTCCCCAAAGAAATCTCAATAGAATTGTAACAAGCACCGGCCATTCAAACATTGACCATGGGAGATTTGCTGACATGGGTGAAGGCGTGCTGACAAAAGGTACAAATGGAGATATGGTCGCAGTCACACAGCTACACCTTGAAGTGAGGTAAAAGTTCTGTTCAAGGCAAAGCTCCAAGCAGGTATCACCTGTTACAGGTGCAGAAGCCAGGGCTATGTGGCCAGAGACTGTAGAACAAGACGGCTCACTGGGACGAGTACCTTGAATTTGTACCAAGAGCTGCGATGCTTCAAGTGTAATAAGATCAACTACTTTGCATCAGAATGCCAGGGAAACGGCTCAGTGGAAAAGATATCAGCTGACCAACTAACAAGAGTACCTCAGCAGTGGCTGAGCAGAATAAAAACAGAAGTTGAGCCCACCCAGTATATGTGTGTGCTGCTTCTGCAAATCAGCTAAGCATTCAGCAAATAGTACACATTCATCAATGGAGTGGACACCCCAGGATAAAATGCACATTATATTTTGCCAAATGGAAAGTCCCAACTTTTTTAAAAGGTGACGTACAAATGGCAGTGAAGACCCCTGAGGCATGCCAGTCAATTGATCCTGCACCTGTACACTGGTGAAAAAGGAGGCTTGATGTGAAGGACAATTGGAGCAGGTTAAGAGTGGACATCACTCATCATGACAGTAGCCACTCTCTGACACTTATTGATTGTGGTCCCTCACAATTTGCCATCTGGTGGTGCTCCCTGAGTCAGCAGGACTCAGCAAGAAGTGTTGTATGCCAGCTGGAGTCCAAATTTTATGATCATGGCCCACTGGTTGAGATCCTGAGTGACAACGGCACCACATTTACTGGCCAACATTTTTAGCAGTTCCTGCATGACTGGGGTATACATCTTCAATTCTGGTGCTCCTATGAATTGGTGGGAAATGATATATTTGAGAAAAGCCACAGAAGTGTGAAAAACATTGCAGCTGGAAATGATGTTCCATTCCAGAGGTTATCTACTGGTATAACACCATGCCACCAAAGGACAGCGTCTCAACCTCTACAGCACTGGCCAATGGCATACACGCCTACAATCACTGGATCCAGGATATTGATCCGGTAGCCACCCCTGAACTGCAAGATGTCCAGAGAGAGTTTCAGATGGGGGATACAGCAGGTGTAGGAGTATGTGCTTGATGCTGCTCTCATCACGTCAAAAACTTGCACCCTTTTTTTGGGAGTGTATGTGTCATTCAGAAACGCCAGTGGCTCATCAGAAGAAGGTAAACTGCTGAAAAAGCTAAGGTTGGTATTGCTAGATGATACCCGACACCAGTAGCTCAGAAACTGCTGACGATGATGACTGTCTTGGATGTAGTTTGTCTCAGGAAGAATCCAGGGCTTCTCCACTCCAAAGGAGTGCTCAGATAAAGAGGTGCACACCAGCTACATTTTTCGTGATGAGGACATCAGGGGCAGTTGCCAAGAGAAGGTGTTCAACTGCCATAAAAAGAATTTAAGTGGCAGAATGCATTGTTTGTAGACATAAGCAAAATTGATTTTGGTGTGCTTCGAACCTGAGCCTTGCATTAACCAGCTGAGGGTGATTTCTCCAAGTAGAATGAATGCCCAATAGACAAGCCAGGATGTTGGGAGATTGACAATTTGCATATCCATATATGAATTTAATCCAAACATCCAGATTAAGTACTTTGTAATAAAAGAACAAGATGCAGGAGAGTCATGTGGAGCAAGAAACTGTGTGTCTTTTATTTCACTTTCTTTTTATTTCATCACCAAAGCATGGTTAGTGAACTAATCTAGTTGATCTCTACTATTGAGGTGTGAGTTTGATCCTTACTATACTTTTTCAAATATTATAATTCACCCAATACAAAACTCAACAGCTACTCAAAGTAGAGTTTCACTGTTGAAGAAGTAATGATGAAGGAGACATGCAATATGAATGAAAGTGAAGGTGGTAGAAAGTGAAGATTATGAGGATAGATAATGAATGACTCTTGACTTGCAGAGGTTAAAATTGTGTTAAGTGAAGCATCCATGCAGGAAACTTTTGCACAAAGAAGCAATTCTTGGGAAAAAGCTAACTGGGAAGTTTCTCCTTATATTTCAAATACAGAAAAAAAATGAAGATGATTTGAATTCATAGAAATAGCATGGCATGTAAAGGCCTGAATTGGTGAAACTAATGAATGAAGCTCATCTGAATATTTGCCATGGAAATCATGATAGAGAAGTGACAAGCTTATGTTGCATTTGTTAAAAAGAGGCAGCAAAGTGGAAAATAAGTCTTTCCCCACAAGCCCAAGTATATCATATTCCAACTTTGGTCTAATCTGTCTTTTGTAAAGATAAAGCATGATAGGATTTAGATACTTCCTGGAGTGTTAGAATGAACTGACCATTTTTCCAGCATTTTTAGCAATTGATCATATATATGATTTATATTTGACATCTTCCACTTGAGACAAATTTCATGTTTGAGTTATTCACTCAGCTAAACTAAGTAAATAGCTCAGATATGAAGTTTATGAAAAGAGAGAGAGAAAAAGAGAAAGAAACTGAGAAAGAGAGAAAATGAGAATAAGAGAAAAAAGAAAGAAAAAAAAGAAATAGATAAAATTGAGAGAACAATCCTGCCCCCCCCTGCTAACAAAAAAAAAAAAAAAAAAAAAAAATGATACTGAAGTGAAAGAAAAAAAATTAAAATGTACAAAAAGGATCATAGGTTTGTGCAAAAGTTCCTGCTCACTCTTCTTTTTTAGAAGGTTAGAAGCTAAATATGCAAGAATAAATATATAACCTTTTTTAAATAAAAGAGTAGATGAAATAAAAAATATAGTATAAAACACTGGAAAAATTTGTACATAAAATACTTATATTGTCTGACATTAAAAACTTACAAGCAGAAGCGAATGCTTACTGCTCCATGCTTGATTTAAAGTGAAGCAAAAGAGATTTGAAAAGTTGAATGTATTTAGCCTAACAAATCAATGAGTCAGACATTAACAAAAAAAGGAATAAAGAAAAACATTTACACAATTGCTGACCTGTTTAATCAAAGTGTATAAACTGCAATGTTTTATTTGTAGGTTAAAAATATAGACCAATATTTTAGATTATATATATATATAACACAAAAGTAAGTAAATCCAAAAAAAGTAAACTAAAATAGCACACCAGAAAAACAGTGCTCATTATCAAAATAGCAGAGTATATATATTATAATAATCCAGTTTACTTCTGACCACACTACTCACCAGTGTACCATTTTAGGAAACTCCTTCAGGAGTTACTTTTGTGTTTAAAGTGTGAGTTTGTAAACAGTCACTATTACTGCTACTAATGGAATACTCTTCAATAAAACAAATCGAGTTTTCTCAGTGACTGACACGTTTATCTAAAAACAAATATGCTTAAATTCACCTTTATCCCTGCTGTACACCAATGGCTTAGGGGTAGATTCTCCTACTGATGCCAATTCAGCTCGGTTTCAATACTAGCTGGAGGCAACCAGACATCTAGCCACACTGATGAGCTGTGATACAGTGAAACAGTCTGTCAGTGTATATGACCGAATGGGTAAATATTTTTAGGTGTACGAGTATGCAATTGTATATGAATACATATAAATACTCTACAGTGTAAGAAAAAATAGTGCCCAATATTAAATAAGCTATTTAAGATATATATTAAAAAGTACCTTACAGTAATTGCACAACTCTGAATTTCATGCTGAACCAATTGTCAAGTGCTGGATTGACAATTGCTTTGGCATGAAATATTTTATTGTGGAATTATATAATTTACCTTTATATCCTTATTATTCCTTGATAAAATGTTCTATGAAGCCTTAAAATAAAAAAGTTATTTCACATTTAGACTTTCTTAACATCGCTCTGATCTTTATGCTCGCTACTGTGTGTGTGTATATAAATATATATATTAAAATACACAAGTTTACACATATTTATGCAATTACAATTGGATGTATGGATGGTGTAATGGATAGTGGTCTGGAATGAGAAATTGGAGAATTGAGTCCAAAACCAGACTTGTTTGTTACACTCACTTGGGAAAAGTATGAACCCATCTCCTCCCTGCATTTATGGATTAAATACTAGGACTTGCATCTGAAAAAAAAAACATTGTTATTCCCCAAATTTTTTAATGCTATATTCAGTAGCAAAAAAAGCTTCAGCTTTAAATAATCCACAAAGTGTCGAGGCATAAACAAATCAGTTTAAATCAAATACTGATGTGTCTGAATAGTTTCAGAAAGACTTATGTTAGCCTAAATAATAGCCATGTACTTCTTTATTACAATAACATACTCTAACATCTTTAGGAATAAAAAAAGGCAAAAATTCAATTACCTACTTAAAATACTTAGAAAAAAAAAGGATAAAATAGATTTAATATATATTTTAGTCAGTGAATTCTCTAAATATATTTAACAGTTTTGAAATCAGGACTTTTTAATAAGATTATGAAGTTTTCATATGTTTATTTAAACACACTTAAAGGTAACATGAAAAATGTAATTCATTTTTATTAGTTTCTTTAATGTTTCTTTATATCAGCATCAGGACAAGAGAGCCTAATATCTGAGATTAAAAGAAAAGAAAAAACAAAAAAAACATCAGTTATATTATTTCATAAATTAGTTGGATGTGTATCCTGATTTCTGTTATTTCAATTGCAACATTTCAGCCAGTCTTGCCGAGTTGTCACTAATTTTGAACAGAGTGACTTGTTCAAAACCTTTTATTGTTTGATCTTTTTTATAGTAATTCACAAATACAAGTGACAAATATTTTAACTCCTATCAGCCTGCATGTCATTTTATCATTTAACAAAGAGCAAGAATTTGATTACTCAGTCAATACATTTCTTCAAACTTTCACATTCACATGTTGCCCTACTATTGATTAAGAGGAGGACACTAATCACTTGATCTGATCCATAGCAAGCAGAGATCCAATCAAATATCTGCTGTAAGGGATGGGGTCAGATGTGGTTAGGGTTCAATGACAACCAATTCTTCATGCACATAAGCTTCAAATTCCTATCAGGTGTTTCCAGTCACCAGTTTTTTTTTCTTTTTTGGTACAAGCAATGAGGAAGTGAGTGTATGAATGTTTGTTACCAACAGAGTGGAACAGGCAGGAAGAGCTCTGGAAAGAAGGAATGAGTAAGAAGTTTCAATCTGGTCACTGAAAGTCAACTAACACATTGCACGGACATTGTAAAATACCAAAGTGCAATTGAGGGAAACAGAAATATACAGACATTATTAATAAAGTTTGGAGATTGTAAATTTGACAAGATTGTGTCCTTCATGAATCTACAAGATATACACAATTTTTGGAGAAGATTGAAAATAGAGAGAATTTAATCTCAGCTCCTTAGAAACACAAAAATTACATTTGCCAATCAGTGACCTTGAAAATAGTTGGGAGTGAGGGGTAAGCGCTAATCACTTACAAAAAATACAGAAGATTCAAGAGCCTGGATCATGTTATTCTCAGTTCAAAGAAAGTCAATCTCTCCTCTAACCATAAGAAAACAGTCACTACAGCTTTATTTTTTATTTTTTACTAATGTTCACCTAATACAAAGCCCAAGAGTCACTCAATATAGAGGGTTATTGTGTGGTGGTGTATGAGCATAAGAAAGGGCAAGAAGTTCTTGGGGGCTATGCAGGAAAAATAATGGCTAACTCTAGATTTGAAGAGGTCAAGATTTAATTAGTGAATAACATTTCAGAGTTCAGTTGGAGACATCAGAAATATAGTGTGGAAGTAGACTTTAGAAGGAACTGGAAACCCAATCCTAAACAGGAAATAAAGAATAATCTTCTACTCAGCCGTCTCATTTCATTGCAGTCTTGATGAATTTTGATTTAATCAGCCTCACTGGCTTATCACCATATTTAAGTTTGTGATTGTGTAACAGACCTTTTCACTATCAAAGAATTTCTGATCATTTTTTTTTACAAATAAACCAAGCACAAATGTTGCATGTAAGTGGCCAATTATAACCAGTTTGTCAACAAGGTTAGCCATATCCACTGATTGAACTTGGAAACATTTAATCCTTCGGGTAGAAGAGAGAAAGTTAAAAATTTGTTAATAACTTGGTGAGAAACGATCAATTTTTTAATTTACACAAATTATAATCAATTGTTACTGGAGCAAAAACAACCCATGATTAACAATTATGAAATTGTCTTAACTTTTTTTTCAAGTATTTTTAAGTTCATTATTTTCTTTTTAAATAAAACAGTTATTTTTTTTAATGAATTTCTATTAAGAATATATTTTAAATAATGAAATGATATTCTGTAAAAACAATTTCAGTTTACACAAATGAACATTTTCAGTCAGACCATTGGAAAAGTTTTTCACATACATTGTACTGTTCAAGAAAATGTTCAGATACCTATGGTACTATTTTATAAAATGTGTTCTTAATAAATTATATTTACAAATTTTACAATGCAAATCATTATAAAGTATTTTCTAGCCATGTACATCACAAGTACTGAAGTGTAAAATTATAAAAATTGTTTATCACTTTAGAAACAATAATCTTTCAAGATCAAATTGAAAAAAATCACCTTGTCCCTAAAACTTCTGTTGCATGATTACACTTAATTGTGTTTTATTAACAATGATTTCAAAATGTGGTCATCCAAATTCACTTTAGATATTGAGTACAATATGGAAGAAAAATAGTTTCATAAAAAAATATTCCAGTTCAAACAAGAGAGAAAAGAAAAATAAAAACAATCTGGTATTGAAATTATTAGAAATGTCTTGCATCCAGTTTTTATTTGTAAAGCTATGATTTTTATATTGGTTATTTGCATCTGAAAACCTTTTGGCTTATAAAAAAACTTTCAAAGTAAGCATTCTTAATATGAAAACATAATAAAAATATGAATAAGACAATATCTTGAAAAAAAAAAAAAAAAAAAAAATTCATAATGGAATGGGAATTTTTTTAACAATTATTTTGTAACCAATCCTAATAATCTACCGTACAAAAACATGCTTTAATTTGTTAGGGCAGAACTTTTAAAAAAGTGTTGACGGTGGGATTCTCAAAAAAAAGGGAGGTAAATGCATCAGCCCAACCCATTTGACAAATTGCAATATTATTGAAATTACAATAAAATAAAATAACTGATACCTACATCATATCCATTCATTGTAGAAGAAATAACTTTTAAATGATTTATTTTAAAGTGAAAAAATTCTTACCTCGGGGACACAAGCACATGAACTTGTACATGCTGGTTTTATTACATGTGCCGCCATTAAGACACGGACTAGGCTTGCAAGGAATGTAGTCTTTTTCGCAGTTTTTTCCTGTGTATTGTTGAAGACATTTGCACCTGAAAATTAAATACATCGTATAATTATTTTAGTTTATTTTACTTAATTGTCGCCATTTTGAATACACTATTTTTTCAAACTTATTTATGCCTTATATGAAGGGAGCTTACTCCTGTAGTTCATGAAAACCTTTTTATAATGCACTCAAGTAGAGAAAACAAAACAAAGAACACTTGCTCTAGAATTTGAAGAAATGATTAAACCAGTTGTGTTATAAATATTTTTTATTTTGAGGCATACCTTTGTGAACCTAGCATTACATTACATGATCAATTTCCAGAAATCAAAATTTCAAGAAAAAATACAATATTAAGAAAGAATAATTGTTGGCTGCTCATTTCCAAGTATACCAGTTTTCAAGAGTTGCTTGCTATTTCCTGTTGCAGATATCTACTCAAGCACATTTCAACACCACAGAGCCTCCTTTTGTTTTATACTGAGGATACCTTAAAGTATTGGGAAAGAGCATATAGCAATTTACTAAGTGTAGCTTAGTTGTGGCACAAGGCTGAAAGTATGGAGCACCCAGTGAAGTTCAAACTCACTATTCAGTTGTAAATTATCTAGCAAGACAAGCTTGCTAACCATTACACCACAGTGAAGTGCCCTCAGGAAAGAGTGTATATAATCTGGCCTGAACAGTTGCTGAACCAGGCCAGTGTGTTCAATTCAATTCTAAATCAGTAATTTAATAAATAAAATTAAAAATTTAGAATTTAAAGTAGTATCAATAATATTAATCTGAAATAGCCAATTTTAGAGAAAAATAAGAAATAAGAAAATTATAATAAATATTACCAAAACAAATAAAAATGCAGTTACATCAACATTCTTAAAATTGCCTATATTCATGACAGACAAGTTAGGCAGTTTAAGAAAATTTTTATATTTTTACCACATATTCTTGTTCATGTGACAGAAGTTTCATTTTGTGCACAAACTTGTGTCTAGGGTTAAAAGAAATTTTTCTAGAATAACAGTGTCATGCCAAAATCATGGTCTTTTTCAATTTTGGTACCTTATAAATTTGATATTTAAGAACATATGAAACTATAAGTTGGTACCCCTGCAATTTTCTAGGCAAATAAACTATTTTTAACTTTATTTTACATTTGTTCCAAACAGTTTAGATGCGATGGACATTTAAAAATGTTTTTTCAGATGGGCTACAAAATTTTTAACTGAAAAATGACATTGAAATAAGGATTCCACTAGATTATGTTAATTTTAAATACATCAAGTCAAAATAATGAAAATGCATCACAATTTGTTAATGGTAGGCAATTTTATCGATACTCAAAAAATATATACAAATCAAGATCATTAGTAAGGCAAAAATCATGTTAATGATATTTCTAAAGGAAATAAATATTTGGATTTAGAGATAATAATCAATACTTTTAGTAATAAGACAGCATTTTACCTTTTGATGAAATGCAATAACATTGCATCACAAACACAAAGCTCAATAACAATAAATTATTTCATCTTATAAAAAATCATTTCTTAACAATTACTTACATATAACTACCAGGTATATTCTGACATGTTCCTCCATTCTTACAGAGATTTGGAATCAAGTCACATTCATTCACATCAAAAGCACATGTAGGTCCTGTGTAACCAGTAACACAATTGCATTTGAATGATGTCAGGTTTGAAATACAGGTAGCAGCATTCCGGCAAGGCTGAGAGGCACAATAATCAATGGATTCACAATTATTACCTGCAAAGACAAAAATGTTATTAAAATAACTAGCAGCATGCCTGGGTTAAATTGATCATTATCTTTCTGATCAAAAAGAGGTATCAAGGATTCCAATAATACAGGTGTACTTAGGTACCTCCACGAAATCGCTAAAAAAAGAGCATAGCTTGATGAAAAAGACGCCAAACTTGCCGAAAACTAAATTTTATTGTCTAAATGCTTATGTTATTATTAAGAGGAAAGACCAAAGTTTTTTTTAATTATTTTTAAAAATTTTCCTTCTTTTTTAGAACATTCTAAATTTTGATTAAAAAACCTTTTTTCTATTTGTATCAAGCGGAACTAGTAAATAACAGACAATTTTTAGCATGTTTTTTGGTATGACACACATTAATTTGAAAAATCGTGCAAAAATAGAAATAATTATCGGATGTTAATGAAACTTTCAGGAACTATTCACAGATGATCGAAATTATTATAAATATTTTTTTATGAAAGTCATGGTAGAAATATTTTTTTTTTAAATATTTATTACCCCCCATAACTAATTTTATGAAAAAACTAGAAATTCGATCGCATCGGTTTTAGTGATTACAATAATTAAAAGCACAGGGCTTTGAGGAATGCAAATCATGTTTTTTTTTTTTTTTAATTGGATACACAGTACCTGAAAATCAGCTCTGAATTGTAACATACAAAACTCAATAAAACAAATATATTATTTAATTTCAAATGCTTTTATTTGCTTTTAGTTGTTTTTATGAATATGGACAATATTTTCTGAAAGCAAAAAAATTTTTTTTTCGATGAAAAATGAATTTTTAATACAATTATTTGTTATTTCATTAATTATAATAGATTTTTACATTTAAGTTGTTAAAATATTATAAAATTAGTTAAAAAAGCCGCATCGGCTTTCATAAGTGTCCTTATGAGATAGATCTTTTTTTTAGCGCGTTGTAAATTGTATCATTTTGACTAATCAGAAGATACCAGTAATTAAAAATGTAATTTTGTGCTTATAATCGAGCTGTAATTATAAAATACGGAAGACCAACCAGAATATAATTAAGTTGCGTTATTTGAGTTAAGCATTGTTCTCCGCTGTTAAGGCCTTTACTTTTGCGAAACACGTGTGGAGAAGTTAATTTGATTTTTCAATTTCAACTGAGAAGGGTACCTACAAGTATCAGTATCATCTTATGAAATTTATATGATCTTATTTTTATATTAATCTCAGTTATGACATTTTTCCATAAATGAAATATCAAAATTAATAATAAAATGAATGCAAATACAAATAACAGTAGAATGTAATAAATGTACATAAAATTATAGTATTTTATGTACAATTCTGATAAAATTTCATAAGAAAGGTACCTATAAATTAATTAGATACCTTTCTTAAGAAATATGAAATTTAATGTCACTCTTAACAGTTTTATTTTAATTTCTTTACAATATATTTCCCATAAAGCATCATAAACGTAAAGGTGAAAGCTAAAAACAAAAAAAAAAAAAAAAATTAGACTGCTGAAAGTTTTCGTTAAAAATAACGGGGTAAATAATTTGTTCACGTAAATGTAAATTATTTCACTTTTCTCCTTCCGTAGAACAAATTAGCCTCATGGAATTCGTAAATATATCATTCATCACATGTCAAGAGACGCGAAAGTTTATGACCTGCTTTGTTTTATTTTCAAATTACATCTTTTTGGCACAAAAGCTAAGTTAAGTTTGGTTCAAAATATTTTAAATAAACATTATAATTTCTGATTTTCTTAAAATAAGTTTTGAAAAAATAATTGATATTTAAAAAAAATTCAAAGTCAGATTTCCATTTTTTTTTAAATGGTCAATTTTGCTGACTCAAAAAAAACTAAATTTTTAACGAAAATTTCGGACGTGCTAGGAACGATTAAAAAATGGAAAAAAATACCCCAAAAATACTTTGACCTTTCCTCTTAATAATAATAAACATTTAGACGATAAAATTTTGTTTTCGTCAAGTTTGGCGTCTTTTTCATCATGCCATGCTCTTTTTTTAGCGATCTCGTGGAGGTACCTAGGTGTACTTGTTCAAAAAATGCATTAACAATATTATCTTGTGAGAACTACTATGATTAAATTCTATTCTCTTAAAGAATTAATTAAATTTCTAAGATTGGATTCTATTCTCTTAAAGAATAATATAAAAACAAATTCTACATTTTTATTCCAACTACTAACAAACAAAAAATGGTAATTTCCAATTACTTTCCTTGAGTCATGACAAAATTTTTGTTTACCATTCTTAAAAAATTCTCCCTTATATTTTCAATTTAGTTTTTGATAAGCAGAAAACATAACACATAAATATTGTTTGTGATGACTGATCATTGAAGTTTTTAACCAAAAATTGACCCCACTCCCACATTTAGAGATAAATAATATAAATATCTAAATTTAAGTTCTTCAATCTTTATTTATGTTTCATTAACCAGCTTAAAAATAATTGCTTAAGTTTTTTGTTTATTCATGTGCGTGTTCATATGTGCTCCATTTATTACAAGCCTGGTGAGAAATGAGAATTATTTTTCTTTAATTGTTTTTAAAATAAATATAATAGAATTTCAATAAAAAAAAAAAAATTGTAACTTCCCAGCATTATAACGTCCAAAAGAAAAAAGAATGTAACCAGTCCTCTAAAGTTCTATTGTCCCCAGGATGATGTTAATCTTGAGCCTTGCTAGAATCTGATAAGTATTGGGAAATACTTTGGTTAGTACATTGTTAAGCTACAATGCAATGTACCTATTAGAAAATTTTATGCCTGATGCACAGAAATTCTATAAAAGTTAAATAATCCGAGTTAAATAATTGCCTCCCTTCCAGCAAAAAAAATTTAACATTTTATTCATTGTAGTTTGTTTGAAAGAATTAAACTTTAAATCTTATTATATACAATGATTGATGATTCAATGCAGGATTAACTATGACCAATGAGAATTAAATAATAGATCTAATCTTGAGAAAGATAAAAGATTCAAATAAAACTTACCCATGTATCCTGGACGGCAGATACATTTGTATTGATGCAAAGTATGAACATTGACACAAGTACCACCATTTTTGCAAGGATTATTGTAACAGATGCTCTTGTTGTTTCTCTGCTCACACATTGTGCCAAGAAAACCTGGAAAGACAAAATAAAGAAAATACAACAGCATAAAACACACTTCTTTTATGTGCTATGCCCCTTCAAAACGAAGGTGTGATCATGACTCACCACAACTTCCTATCCTAAGCAATATGTTTTACAATTGGGTTTAATTTTATAAAACTTCTTCCCTTTACAACAAATATCTTCCACCCTCCCGTGATCCCTGTCTTGTGCCTTTTGTCTGACTGAAACATTGAAATAGATAAATTCTGTATTAGTTTTCTGACAGTTATTTTTTCTTTTTTTTTTTTTAGCATTCACAGTTAAATTTCTGTTTTTGACATGAACTCAGTCCATGATGGGCTTGATGAGACAGACTACCTGTGTTTTCATCTGCCAAAATAGGCTATTCCCTATACGAGTTGATTTGGGATATTATTATTTATTTTACACACACACACACACACACACATATATATTTCTAATTCAGAACAATTTTCATTTCACCAGAAAGTTGCCTTTTATAATTGCAATTATAAAAGATATAAAAATTAATTGCATTATGAAGCAACAGACACTGCCATATTATATATATATATATATATATATATATATATATATATATATGTGTGTGTGTGTGTGTGTGTGTGTGTGTGTGTTTCCTTTAAAACCAATAGCAGTTTTATTTTTTTAATTTTCCTAACAAAAAAAAAAACAAAAACAAAAAGAGTTGATTGACAGACACTCAAATGAATGAAATAAATAATATTCATTCTAAATATTAACCAATTTCAATTTCTGCCTGAATGATGATGGATGAGAAAGGTATCTCCTTGCAAATCAACTGAGAAAGGTTTGGTTTGTTGTGTTTTTAATTAAAATATCAATCTCAATGGGTTAAATTTAATTTGACAACCCCCATTATCCCGGTAATATTTTTAATCAAAAAATGTATAGCTTGTAATATTTTATTTATTTATTTTTTGTTCAAAAACGTATTGCTGGTAATAGTTTTTTTTTCAAAAACATATTGCTGGTTATAGTTTTTTTCTTCAAAAATTTATTTCTGGTAATAATTTTTTTCTTCAAAAATTTATTTCTGGTATTAAAACCTAGTTTTAGACTTTAATAATACTTTTTACTTCAGTTTCAGGGTTAACTGTTTGCCCATAGCTGAGACCCTAACAGGTGCTACCACCCTGGGTCAGGGTGGACCTGGGAACACCAGCAATTAAGAAGTGGTTCCACTCTTCTCAAAACCTCCTGATCAGAGGCCTTACTGTTGGACACAGTTTATCGTCTTACCAAGGACGCAGATGTAGTATATCATCATACCCAGGATGCGGATGTAGTTCATTGTCATAATCAAGACACGAATGTAGTTTATCATCATACCCAGGACGCAACTGAGAAAGGTATCTCTTTGCTAATCAATTAAGAAAGGTACCTCCGCGCTAATCAATTATTGTAAATTTGTAATTTGTTAAAAAACACTAAAGAATGAAGAGTATGAAACAATATTTTTGGACAAAGAAAATGGATGATCAAATGATTTTTAAATTAACTAATTAAATTTTTCAAAAATTATGAAAATGGAGTCAAATCATTTTATAACCTATTAATTCATATAATTAAAACAGCCCAATTTCAAGTTATTAATTCAGTCAATTAAACACAATGTAAAATTTAAAAGATTAATTATAATCTCATGATAATAAAATTAACGAGGTACATTTTATAAATATATCTTGAAAATTAGAAATGTCACAGAGACACACAAAGAAACATTCAAGATTGAAATATATGATGCAGGCAAAGGGAGATAACCGCAGAACGGAAAATTTTTCTTCTTTCACATGGAAAAATCATATATAATAACGAACAGTGTGATTTTTTTTGTTTATTTGTTCAAATTATAACATGCTATAACAAATACTAAAACTGGCATTAAACTTCTAGGAAACCCTGAAAGTTATAATAACATTACAAAATAAACAAGGCTATCCTCAGATTAAAAGGAAACAGTGAACTGTAACATTTACTCTTTTTATTTTGTGGCTTTCTAGATAGGTTTGGAACGTGACATTTCCTGAAATGGCCTTGTGAAAGCAAAGGTCACTATTGGCTGATGTCACCTTCAAAGTAACTATGCATTTCATGAGATGATGGTGCCATTATTGGAAATATTCATAGAACTTATTTTCCAGAATAAGTATCAGTTATATGTTGCTGGATGTCAGGGTTGTTAACATATCTTCAGTACAATTTTCAGGTAATTTTAATTTGGGGAATATCAAAAAAAATCAGAGATGGCAGCTTATTTTTCTAATGATTTCTTAACCAGGAATTTGAATTTCTATTGTATCATTTTTCTTATTTTAAAATCCTGTGTCTTACATCTTACCTTTCCTTGAACCATTTGTGTCAATCGAAAACACTTGATTGCTTCATAACTATTTTTAATATGGGTAATGTTCCATGATCACTTTTACCATTCTTTATAATAAAAAAATGATGTTAATTCATTACTCCAGATTTTTTTCCCTCATTTTTTACCAACAGTATAATATGATCATATAGAGTGTCCTCTACTGCTTGGCAACAAATGACTCATCTGTTGTGTCTCAAGATTTCATAAGTTGGAACATATTAAGACATGCTGGGTACAAGTGAATGATCCAGTGACAGATTGGAGTCAATCCAAGAATTAAATTGCCACCCTGTCACAAGGTCATTTTCTGAATTGTTTTAAAGATAAAATAAGTATAAAGTTAAAAAAATGAAAATAAAAAAATGTTTGTGTCATCTACTTTCAGGAAGAATCATGATGACTGCAGTAAAACCATTTATTAATTTCTTAAGTTCCTGTTATTTGTTACATAATAATATGGAGACAGTTTTATTCCATCCTTAAAAATACTTAGTGAATTCAAATGATGCTTAGTAAAGGTCTAATCAAATCATTAATATAAAAATAAATTTTAAAAAATACAAAAAAAAAAAATTAGTGCAAAATTCAAGATTGAAAGGGTTAAACAACAATGTGAATTTCAACAATGAATTTAAACAACAATGTGAATTTCAAATAAAATGAATGATAAAAGTATGAAATGAATAGAAAATATTATCATACACAAATCCAGTGTAACTGCAACCATTTCAATGTCAATTAACATAACTTAATATTAATATTAATTAATTAATATTAATTAATTAATATTAATAACTTAATTATTGGAGTAGCAAGCAAGAGAATTAAAATAAATAAATATGCTTCAGAAAAATAAAAAATACACATACCCAGCTGACATGTGCAAGACGGTTTGACCCCTTGTACACTCTCCAAGACATGACAGGTACCATTGTTCATACAATGTTTAGCACTGGGTCGACAAGGGTTCATGTATTCACAGTATTCTCCTCGATAATCTGTCCCACATCTGGTAAAAAAAAAAAAAAAAATTAGTTTTAGCAAAAGACAAAGTAAATAAGAGAAGTTAATACTTTGTTACTCTTTAAGTTGAACTATAAATTAACTGTCAGGAGAATAGGTTACTTGTATTGTGTGTGGGTGGGTTAAAAAATCCTTAATTTATTGACAAATGCTGAATCAGAATAAATAATACGTAATGGATTACTTCCCTTAGAACTGTTTAAAAACCGTATTTTAGTCTAAGGGTAAGAACTTATTTCTTTAAATAAGAATTCAAATTCACGTTTTTTTTTTTTTTTTTTTTTTTTAGGAACAGAACATTTTTTCAATTCAACTTTTGAATACCATTTTAGAAACAAATTTGAATTAATAAAAATAATCATTCAATAGATTGTTGAATAGAAATTATTTTCCCCAAAGACTCGAGAAATAATGGGCGTATTTGCATGAACATGTCTTTTTTATTTTATTTAATTATAATTTATTTTTTTCATGTAAGTTATCTTCAGTTTGAAAGTTTGAATGAATGAACCAGTTCACCGTCTTAAATTGTACTTCTCTTGTCTGTAGATTAAGTAGTAAGGATAAAAACTTCTTCATCCAAGAATTCACTGATTTGTATGCTTAACTTTGCAAATAAATGACATTCATTAAACAATTTAAAAAGTCACATTTTCACATCAATTTTTCTGGATATGAAATATTTTCGATATTCTATATTGTATTCATCTTTGTTGCTTTTAATTTTAACAATATTCCGGACGATATATTCTTCACCTTTCTGCAGGTGTATGCTGCATCAAGCAAGAATGTTCTCGTATTTTAGGTTATCATTTCTAACATGAAATCCACTCCCTGTGAGATGTAGGGTTTGAGTTGGAGAAAAATAAGAAAAAGTAAAAGAAAACGTAAAGATTTAAAGAATGTGTTTAAACGAACGATGACAAATTTCCAATGAAGGCCAAATATTGGTCGAAACATTGTTAAACAGCAAAGTTGTAACAGTCTACAATACATAAAACGTGGAAGGTTGATATAATTATTTGAATAGTTTCTAAAATAAAATTATAAAATGTTCAAATTTTTAAAGATCCTGTTATATAAATTTAAAATGGTTCATTTCCCGAAAATAATTTTACAAAATTGTTTTCTTTTTTCATTTTAAAAAAGTAAAAGAAATGAAAATGTACTGTTGAACTTCAATGAGTTACACAAGATAAAGAAACAGTCACTATTAAAAAAAGAAAAGAAAAAAAAACTGTCAAAATTCAAAAACATTTGAATTTAATCTTTTTTTTTTTTTTTTTTTTTTTATATTTAAATGAACGAAAATAGATTGTGGAGTTGGGAAACAACACGATCGTTCTTTCCTTTGTGAACGGGTTGTTAACTTGGGTTCAAGGGCAGGTAGGTTTATTTGTGAGGAACTTAAACCCACCTGCTGCAGCACTTGAAAACAAATAAAAACAAACAATAACTTTTTTAGCATTTTAGTTTTGTGTTTTCTGGCTTTTTCTGTTTGTAACTTTTTCTTCAATTTTCTTCTTCCTATTATTTTCCCAACCCCTAACACTATTGCGGGATTTTATATCTTTTCAATTCCCTGCTCACCAAATGAATATTTTTTTATGTCCTAGTCAACTGTTCGGCTAATAGGAGAGAACTTGTAACTTTATAACTAGTGAAAAAATATGAGTGCTATTTGTTAAAAAGGGAAAACTGGATGAGAATAAAAAGACGACAGTTAAGTAAAAATAAAAATCTTTTAAAAAAGATTGTAAAAAATAAATGCAAGAAGAAAGTGAGTGGTTAAAGGTATTCACTTGTACAGTTTAAAACGGCCCCTTGCATACAGTTTCCCATCTTTTTTTTTTTTTTTTTTTTTTTATTTATAACAGGCAATTTAAAAGAAGTAGATTTGTGGGCTGGATTTTTATTTTTGTGTGTGTGTATCTCGTGGCTGGCAGCCAAAGGCTGGTAGGGTAGTGGAATGATGTGAATAAAGGTAAGAAACACAGCCGACCAATCAGAGAACAAGAAGAGAGCAGGTGCAAATCGGACAACAAAAGAAAAACAAAACAAAAGAAAAAAAAAGTAACAGAAAAGAGAAAAGAAAAAAACGAACAAAAGAAAGAAAATGACCTCTAGGCAGATGAAAAGAAAAAAAATAGCTAAATTATGTAGTCAAATGATGGCAGTGTTATGCGTGTGTCAAAGAAGGAAGAGAATATGTTCGTGCGTGGAAACAAGAGTTGAGTGACACTTTTTTTTTTTTTGTATGTGTAGGTATTTTTTTAATGATCATATGTGTGTGCGAGAGAGAGATTCGGTAGCGATAAAAAGTTATTTTTCATAAATTCATGCATTTATTTAAAAAATACAAAGTAAAAACGAAAAAAATTTTTTTACAAAGACTGCAAAAAAATATCGCACGCATTCAAACAACCCACCCACCCACTCACACAGAGAAATGCGTATTTATTTTTACGTATTTTCACGCCTATTTTAGGATTTTTCCCCTACCAGTTTGCGCGTTTGGTAGATACGATGCCTTGTTTCCCTGGTGTAACGAAATACATGCATAGCTGGGAGACGCCACTAATAAGCTCAGTTAAATTAAACAGAGACATCCAAATTTCTAGTTTATATCGTAATGTTACTTAAGTTTTTATGTTAAAAACTCGCGCATGCTCGTGCGTGTGTGGGGTAAAATAAGAACTTTTGGCTTTAGTTTCATGAACAAAATCTAAGACTAGCTGATGGTTGATGAGGCCAATACTAGAGAGGAATGCTTTGCTATAATAATGGCTGCAGGTGGTGGTGGGAAATAAGGATGATTTTTTTTTATTGAAGCTCTGGTTTTCATCTAAATAAAGAACTGTCTTCATGCTTCTTCCCTATCAGCAACTTAATCCCTCTAAATGACTCCTAGATCAGTCTTTGGAAGAGACAACAGTCTTCAGTTTTTCATGTTATCAACCAAACATAGGTCTTGTGGAACCTGCTTCTGATTTTAGTGTAATGAAGTGGCTCACTTGTACACTGAGGCAGACATAGATGACCCATGATTTTAACCCTATAAAGGCAAATGGTCATCATGATAGTTTTGTAGACTTTTGTCACTTATTTCCCCAAACTTTTTATGTATGACTTGGCCAGTATGTTTAACGTTTTTTGTTTTGCTATCAAAAGATATGACAGTTTTCCTATTTCTCTTTACATTTGGAGGAAAAGAAGAAGTCATCGATCTGGGTAATGTTTAGGAAATTTCTTGTAGATCAAAGAAAGGGAATTAAAGCCCAGCATTGAACTCGCAAATTCTCCAAATTCACAAGCCAACAATTTAATTCATAAGATTAAATTCTGAAAGTTGGGTAGTACAGATTTAGATGCCTAGAAAACTTGGACAAGTAATGACTGAGCAGAAGGAAAAGAAATAAGATATCCTTAAGCATAGAAACAAACAGAACAATTTAACCCTGTAGATTAAATAAAGGGTTCAGTTTGAAATTCCCTTAAAGTTACCTGATTCAACAAACATCTGAAGATTACCAAAGGGGAACAATGGTTAAAATGTTGTGATAATAACAAAGCTGAGGACATTAGTTTAACTAAATCCATGTTTTAATTTAATTTATTACCAGGTATTTTCTAAAAGTCACACAAATTTTGGAACTAGTGTTCCCCTCTGGACCCACCTTGCAATAAGAGATTCTTAAATTTATAAGTCTGTTTTCTTTTTTAAGTTTAATCAACAAGCAACTTAAAAAATGGAATAGAATCAAAATTATACAACAAAGGAAATGAAACTTAATAACAATTGCAACCATTTCAACAAAATCTGTGGTAATTTTGAAGTATCTCCCATTAATTGCAACATAAATAATCATGGCAACAAACAGAATTGTGTTACTGTTCAACCAATGGTATAGTTATTACTAAATGGGGCTTAGTTTTGGAACAAGGTCACAAATATGGGCATAGTGAAGATCAAACTTGCAAATTTTGTGAGAGACATGCCTGCTAACCATTAGACCACAGTTTTATGCACTATACTGTAATTTTATGATCTACTTGTATATTTTTATCATTTAAGTAGCAACAGGATTACTATTATCACAACATTCCTGCTGTTATCTACTGTGAGTGTGACTTCATCCCTCAATGTATAAATTGGCGATTACGAGCTCTTAGAAACATGAATGGTGTATTAGGGGAAAAAAAAAAAATTCAGTTCATGGAATACAAATTGGAAATGATCTCAGTCAATGTTTGTTTATTGAAGGTCTGCTAGAGTTACAAAATGTTTGATGGTACCAACCAATGTCAATGGACAACAACCAGAAACAGTAAAGTATTTGAAGCACATTGGTACCGTCATAAGTGAAGAAGGTATCGAAACAAAAGTACTAGCAAGAAGTGATTACAGTAACACTGGCAAGACTAAGGCGCATATGGAGAGAAGAATATTAGTCACAGAACAAAAGTGATTCGTCTGCAAGTACTGGCTCTATTTTCCTGTATACATGTGAGTCCTGGATTCTCCCAGCTTCAGAGAAGGATGCAAGCATTTGAAGTGAAATACTTCAGAAGAATCCATGGCATCTCCCGCACGGATCTCATAATAAATGAAAAACTAGGAAAACTATTAGATAGCATTTTGGCTACAATAAATTTCTAGCACAGAGAACAAAGGAAATCAAGAAGGTATGGCCAAGTGACCTAATCATCTCAAAGATCATCCTTCAGGAAACAGTGCAAGGGAAAAAGAGAGACAGGTAATGAAAAAGAATGGATAGCTATCACTGAGAGGAGCTTTACCAAAACTCATCCCTCTCCCCACCAACTACCAGAAATGGAGTCAGTTGGTGATGCATGCAGGTTATGGAACCAGTAACAAAATGAAACTTAAGCAGTTTATATCAAAGGGTTTACACATATATACAGACTGACACATTATATATATATAT